CCCTCAGTCCTGCTGAGAGACAATCATTGGGAAGGAAATAGCAATACAGTAGCCGGGGGGGGGGGGACCTACATTACATTACTGTACTTACTTGAGAATTCAGAAGAAAAGCCTATTGTAAGTTTGCAATAAATAAATGAGCTTCAAAATACGGCGGTTTCATCAATATCCATGCAGTGTTTTAAAGTCAACTATTGACAAAACAAAGGACAGGCAGAACACCAGTTTGTTTGTGTGTTTTTGTTTTGTTTTTCTGGTATCTGCTGTTTTTGGTACTAAGTACAGTAAATGTGCTGTTTTGGTTGTTTAAAAAAATTAGAATCTCAAAATACAGTAAATATCCTTCCCCATTTCCACATGAATACCAAAGCAAACTAGAAATTGATTTAAGGGTCTAGAACATAAGGCCAAATGCCCATCTAGTCCAGCATCTTGTTCTCACAGTGACCAACCATAAACAGGACTTCGAGTGCATTTGTGATTCACAGTAACTGACAACTAAAAGGCTGCAATCCTGTACAAGTGAGTTCCATTGAACTCAGTGGGATTGTTGGCAGCTGTAGGATCAGACTCCACATCATTTGGAGTTGTTACTTTTATGATTAGGCTTAATATAGTTCCTTTCTGAACTTGATTCCATTATGTAGGAAAATGCAGTATTCCTCCACCCCCCGAAGCTAAATGCAAAGGCTGTGTAGTTAAGGGGATGCTGTGCCATTTATCTCAAGTCATGTTCCTAAACATCACATCTTTCATAACAAACTGTGTGCCTTAGCTTGACATTTAGCAGGTGCGTGAGAATAAAAATGGAAATAAATGAAAGTAGCAAATAACCATGTTACTGGCTTCATTGGGGCAGAGGTGAAGTGACGGTGAACCTCATCTCAGAGAAAACAGTAGGGTCCCAAAACTGTACAGTGCCTTATTATTTCAAATACAGGATTAAGAGCTACGTCACACATCACCATTTCCCTCACTGGTACCTCTGCTATATACAAAATCCATGTATACTGGGAGGGGTAGCTGGATTTCATGGACTGGCTGGATGCAGAGGAGCGGTGGGAGGCATCAACTGGGGAACCCCCAAGGGAAGAAGGCTCAGAGCCAGAGGATTGGTGGTGGGACAACGATGCATGGTCCGAGGGAGAAGAAGGAGCAGACTGGGTGGAGGTGGTGTTGGAAGCTGAAGAGGCAACAGGGTTTAGTGAGCAGGAAGAGGCTGTGACAGAGGGCAGTCCAGGCTCAGAGACAGAAGAGGAGGGGGGCCAAGAGGCAGGCTGCCCTCCTTCTGCGACCAGCTCCCCTCCTCCCTGGTCTCCCAGAACACGCAAAGAAATGAAGAGGGTGGAGCAACAAGATACAAGGCCACAATTTAAGAAGGATATTGACAAGCTGGAAACCAAGCCTTATGAAGGAGGGAGTTGGGTATGTTTAGCCTGGAAAAGAGAAGACTGGGAGCCTTCTTCAAGTATCTAAAGGGCTGTCACATGGAAGATGGAGCAAATTTTTTCCTGCTCCTGAGGTAGGACCAAACCAATGGCTTCAAGTTATAAGAAAGGAGGTTCCAACTAAACATCAGGAAGACCTTTCTGACAGTATGAGCTGCTCAGCAGTGGGATGGACTCCCTAGGGAGGTTATGGACTCTCCTTTTTTTTTTTTTAAAGCAGAGGTTGGATGACCATCTGTTGTGGATGCTTTAGTTGAGATTCCTGCATTGCAGGGGGTTGGACTAGATAGCCCTCAAGATCCCTTCCAACTGTACTCTAAGGTAATGTTCTTGGGCTGAAGAAGGTTCCCCACACCTACCTACATGGAAGAAACTTCTGTTTAGGAAATGGCCATGTGTGAAGCAACCCTAACTAGGCCTCATTTATAAGAGTGATCTCCCTTGCCCAGGAAGAAGAGCTTAGTGAACTTATAATACCTCAATTATCAATGAACGTTTACACTAATTCATATGCTGCTTCCCAAATTAAAACCTACACAGAATTGCTCTGCTTCATGCATCTGGTTGTGTGATGAATTCATGCAGTTGGAAACATAAAATTAAGGCTTCAGCTGTGGAAGGCAAACTGAGAATTTCACTGACTGAAGTTTCATTCAGAGAATTTCCACATATCAATGCTGTTGGGTAACAGATACAAAGGAAAAGAAAAACCTTCCCTCTCTAGTTGTCAAAATTATGACTTAAAAGATGGCAAGTGTGTGTGTGTGCACCATCCAATTAAATTCCTCAGTCTTGCCAGTAGCAGGGCAACCAATTCTCCTTCATTGTGCTTATAACATTGAGATTCCCAACAGCTAGTTGAGTCCTATTCTGCACCTTTCTATCGCAACAAATAATATGTGCAGCCTTCCCCATTTCGTTTTCTGCATACTTCATCTTTCTCTAGGAGGAAGATAGGAGGAGGTGACGCAAACAGCAACTGTCTCTTCTGCTTGAAGCCTGTGAGATTAATTGGCTATCCTACAGCCTATCACCTGTTCTCAAGCAGGAGAAGGACAGCAAACTGATCTGTTAGCGTTTGACCCCTTCCAGTCAGCCTTGAAGCCAGGTCACAACATTGTAAAGCATTGGCAACATGGATGGACAATTTCATGGCACACAGCAACAGTAAAACAAATGATGGTGCTATTTCATCTGTCAACTGCTTTTGACATAATGGAGTACGAGTGACTCCCCAAGCTGAAATAATGATTCTTTCCCCAGCATTTCTTAAAAAGAGTCATGACAGCCAGTTCCTCCTCCTCCTCTAAACTGCTGGCATTTACATTTCTGCGGGCAAATCCTTCACCATTGTTTCTTCACAACTTTGTAGAATGATCAGGGAGGCATCGTGACATAGCACAAGTTACCCTGCCTGCAGTCAATGGTTTGGGAGACTGAGCGTAAGCAGGCTGGTTCCACAGCTATTTCACCGGGCACAAGAAATTGGCGACCAAAACTGTAATCCTAACACCTGCTCCATGCAGGTGGAGCGGATGTTTTGTGCACAGGTGTGGGGCTCCGTGTCCATGGAACTCTCAGCTGGGAGAGCCAAATGAACTGTGGCAAAGTGAACACTATTGCTGTAGCCAGGATAAAACCTCAAAACAGGGTGTTACGAGGCAGAGCAGGGTTGCATCTACTGGATTCTAAGCTGACCTGTTCCCTATTAAGGGTCCCAGTCTTTGCCCCTCAACTGGCACAACAAAAAACCTAAGCACACATACACACACGCCCTTAGGCTGGTGCAAGTGGCAAGGCTTTGGATGCAGTGGTGGATCTGCTACTTCCCAGCCAGAGTTTGTATTGCTCTGCCCAAAGAATAAAGAACTGACAGATTTACTGATGGAAGCTCTTTGGCAAGGGTGAAGAACCTTAAGGCCAGGGGCCAAATGTAGCCTTCCAAGCATCTCTGACTAGCTCTCAGGACTCACCCCATGCCACATTCCTCTGCCTCACCCCTCACCAGCTTTGCTTCACATCCTCTTTTTAACTAGCTAGAATGTGTCCTTGAACTCTGATAATACCTTTGGCTTGTCTGGATGGAGTATCAGATGTGTGTTGCTGTACCCACTTTTTCCTCTGGTTCTGTATTCCACTGGCTTGTGGTCACCTGGGAGGTTGCCCAGAAGAAAATATGACCACTAGGCTTGAAGAGCCTGATTCCCATTCCTGCGAGCACCTTCCTCTTGTCCTTCCATACTTTCATCTTCCTTTTTCCCTCTTCCACCCTCCTCGGTTCCTTTATAATTATTTTTAATTGACATTGTCCACAGGAATCATGAGCCAGATCCTTGCTGAGGGTTTCAAAAGCAGAGTTGCGTCTCAGAGCAGACCACCTGCCTTTCAAGGTGGCGCCTTTTGCTTTTCTTTTTTGTCTCCTGGTCAAGTTCTCTTGAAGTTCAACCTTTGACATCTCTTTGAAGTGAAGGACAGCGAATACTTCAAAAGGAAACGGTCACTTCACCTGCACTCAAAACCAAAGCATTTTTCAGCCACAGAGAGCAGTCCAGGAACTGCGGCAGGAGTGAAAAAGTGGTTCTTTCCTTGAATGAAGAAGAGGACTTCAAAACACTGAGGGGGAAACATAGTTGAGGGGAGGGAATCAAATTCTGATGGGATCCAAGATGAATTATGCACGATAGCTATAATTTAAACAAATCTTATTCCTGTCTATTAAATGAGTTGGTGGGGGTGACGAAAGAGATTTGCTCATGTTTCCTTTTAGTATTTGTACAACACATCAATCTACCTAGCACTTTGCCAGTGGCAGACTTTGGGCTTTCACATTTCAGCATCAACCTGTACAATGCTAAAATCCACCCTCACCCCCGCTTCTCTCACTCTGTTATACATTGTTGTGGTGCCCCATGTAGCATGGTGCCCAGTGTGGCCAAACTGGTCACGCTACCCTAAAACCGCCTTTGACTTTACAGGACATCCTTTACTGAACTTATTAATATGTACGAGAGAGAGATTCTTGGCTATTATTAGTAACAAGAATGAAATCCAAATTGAGCACTGTGCCTGGAAATCAGCAAATAAGTTTGGTAAATAAATACATTTTAGTTGTGAGAGGCCTATGACACTGAATGAATGAACTGAGTTTTAAACAGAAGTTATGTATGGTTAGTGTAACTCTGTAAAACAATGAATCCTAATGGTTGCCAGTTTCTGTTATGAAAGCATTTCTTCTTTTAGAGTTTCCAAGTTCTCAAAGTTTTCATTTTTACCAAAAGATGCAGGATGTTTTTTAAAAACAAACAAACAGTAAATATTTTTGTCAATTCATACTTACAGTACAAGCAAACAAATAGGTGCTGTAGTTCTTAGACTTACCTGAGTCATTCTTTTAACACTGGGTAATATGTGAAGTTAGTAGTGATGCATGGCACTGTTGTTCTTGCAAAATTATATGTAAGACTTGTATAGCCTAACCTTACATTTTAAATGTTAAATAGTTGAACAATAAGCAATCTTGTGGTGCTTTATTTTGTTTTCTTCTATTTGCAGCGGAAAGTTGCAAGGAATCTCAAATAATAAAGATCAAAGAAGAGCCCATGGAAGTTGATATTCATGATTCCCAAGCCTCAGTTTCACCTAGCCAAAACATCAGTTATAGCACTTTACTCAGGCAAGAGATAACTGAACACATACAAAAGATACCAGAAGGCCGAGTGCTCCCTGAGAGAAACCTCTTCAGCCAAGATATATCAGTGAAGATGGCTTCAGAGCTACTTTTTCAGTTGTCAGGTAGGTAAAGTAGTTGGATACCTACCGTCTACTTCCCTCGTTTTTGTTAAATTCTGAATTTGAATGCGTTGAACTGAGGCTGAAGTCCTTACTAAGACCTTAAGGCTGCAATTCTGTACACCACGGGCAGCCAATATGGTGACCACCGGATATTGTTGGTCTTCTACTGCCATCTGCCACAGCCGGCATGACCAATGGAAACCTGGAGGGTGCCATATTGCCTACCCCAGTTAAACACAATTACCTGAGAACTTAGTCCCATTGAATTCATTGGACTTACTTCTGAGTAGATGTGTGTAAGATGGTACTGTAAGTCCTTTTAAATGCAGTGTGGCTTTTTTATGAGTAAATGTGCTTCTGATAAAGCTTTCCTATCTAGAAAAATAGCTTGGTAAGTACTGCAGTAGCAAAAAGTAAAAAATACTGTTGCAGATTAACTGGAGACTTACGGTGCAATCCTAAAAGCATCCTTGAAAGAAAGTCCGACAAGCAACTCACCATTTACTCAGGGGTTATGTCCCAAGGCACTGTTCACATCAGTGAAATTGCTTATATTTGAAACACCATTGAAAAGGTCTGCAAACACCCCGCCCGTTCCCCATTTTGTGACATTTTTATGATGTTTTTGGGTCACTTCTCGATTCGGCACGACCGTGCGTAAATGGGGGTTGCCTTTATTGTATTCAGGCTGTAAGTTTGCTTTTGCTTTTTAGTTTTAGTTTATTTATTATTACATTTATATCCCACCTTTCCTCCAAGAAGCTCAAGGTGGCATATATGATTCTCATGCTCCCCATTTTATCCTCACAATAACCCTATGAGGTAGTTTAGGCCAAGAGATGGTGACTGCCCAAGGTCACCCAGTGAGCTTCATGGCCAAGTGGGGATTTCAGCTCTCAGGTTCTAGGTCCAACACTCTAACCACTAAACCATACAGGCTCTCTGCATTACAGATAAACACAATTTTACTGCCAGTATCTGTGTGGTGCCACTTCTTTTCATGCACCATTGTTCCTGTTCCTAAAGGTTCAGCAGCATATCCTGTGGTCCTTTCTGCCCTGTTGAACCTGTGGCACTCAGTGGAAAACCATGGGCACAGAACTTCTTTCCTTTTGAACAATAACGTTATGAGTCACAGCAAGATTGCAACATTTGAACTGGATGTGGAGAGTTTAAATTTGTGTTCTAGGAAGATTGCAAAATAGTTTCTGCCATCAGTTGAATATGCACAGTGACAAACTAGAAGGGAGTTCCATTCCAAAAAAGCAGTTAATTACCTGGGCAAAAACCTATTCCTACATTGCCTAGAGGAAAAATTAAGCATGCATGACTTTTGATTTTTCTTTCCCCACCTCTGTATGTCTGACATGAGACATATATCTTACTTACAATGGGTGCCATAAGCCACAGATAACTGCTTCTTTCCAGGTCTCTAAATAATACAGGAATAGTTTCCTTGCAGTCATTTGTTCTAACACCAAGGCACCTTGTTTTCCTTTTGCCAATTTCTTTGTTTCCCATAGTATTCAAGCAAATTTATAATAACAAAGGAAAGCACATAAATTGAGTAGGGGAATTTTTCAGCAAGGGAACACTGATGCATGTTTTACAATGTAAATGGGAGGTTGGAGAGGATATATGGATAAGAAGTTGATAAATCCATACAAATAAGATTTTCCTCAGCTGAAAATGGCCAGAACTAGAACTTTTAAAGGAAATACTTTTGTTTGTTTTGACTAATTAAAAATAATAATTTATATCTCTGCAGAGAAAGTGAGCAAAGAGCACAATCACTCTAAGGATAACACCATCACAGCTACAACTAGGTAAGCAGCATACTTGTTAGAGCATGATAAGTTGATGTATAAGGGCTTTTATGCATGCAGAGAAAAAGGTCAAAGGGTTTAGTTAATTTAGCTGGTTAATTTTGGGTGTGTTTGTCCTGCACCTGCACGTGTACCTGTACCTAGTTAAACATGAGAGTGGGTCAGCAAGCATGTGAGAGTGACTCAGCACAAGTATAAATACACTTAGGGTTGAAGCAAGTTTGCTCTTGGCCAAAGCCTATTCTGTTTGGGGCACTGCAAGGTGACTGTATGCTGCTGGAAGGACGGTACAGTGGTACCTCTGGATATGAATGGGATCCATTCTGGAGCCCCGTTCACATCCTGAAGTAAATGCAACCAGCATCTGCGCATGGGCGGGTCGCGATTTGCCGCTTCCGCGCATGCGCGTGACATCATTTTGACCATCTGCACATGCGCAAGCGGCAAAACCCGGAAGTAATGCGTTCTGTTACTTCCTGGTCGCCATGGAGCACAACCTGAAAGCGCTCAACCTGAAGCAACTTCAACCCAAGGTATGACTGTACAGTATATTACAATGGAATGTAACTTAAAAGCTGTGGAACTGCGTTATTCTGTCAGTAAAGGAACTGACCCTACCTAGAACTATCCGGTGTTTTTCTGTTCCATTGGCCCACTTCACTGGCGTGTTGAATGGGCACTCTGCAAAGGCCATACAGATAAAGCATCCTATAACATGGCAGGTACTTGGCATTGGTGTAGTGGGAATGTTATTTCAGATTTTGAAATGCTGCAGTGTATCAGATGGAGAATCGTACATGGTGTAATCAAACCAAAGTTATGCCCTTTTAAATCTCATTGATCTCATGAGCTCATACCTAAATATTTCCCACAGAAATCAGGGGAATTTTAAAAAAATGCTTAAGTTTGGCATGATCATGCCCATGCTATCTATGTGATAAGCTGATATATTTCTGTTTGACATGTGATTAAAAATTAATTCAATCAATAAGCTCATAGTATTAGGGCAGCTAAGGCAATAAATCAGCAGCAGCAGCGTTGATACATTTCTGATGTGCTTATAAATCATAGGATTGTTAACTACAGTAGGAAGGGGAAAAATACGTTCTCTGTACCTACTTCCTGTAATAGAGACTCACATTGGATATGAAACCTCACTCTCTCGGTCCCGCTTCACCTCTGGCCTCTGTCATGGTTGATTATTGCAGAGTTGTTCCAAAGTGCAGTGATTTCTCTCGTCCCTGGTCTTTTCTTGAGATCTCACTTCAGTTCATCGGTGCCTCTTCTAGATTCAGCAAAACATGGAAAAGGAAAAAGCAGCGGCCCATGCCATTGCCTCTGCTTATTCTTATTTAGCAGAACAAGGCAGGTCTGTAGTTTCCCAGGTGTCCTGGCAAGTCTTGTCAACCAAGGCTGTGTCCCCTCTAGGTCATATGGGTGGTTGTGTCTTGTTGGGCCTTTGTGGGAATACACATGAGCACCTTAGATGTTTTTGCCTCCAAAATATATCCCGATGTTTCCTGTCTGCACTAGCAGGCAGAGCTTGATGAGATGTATTCTTGTTGTGTGTTATTTTCTCCACCCCTCAATTAGTGCTTCTGTACCCACCATAAATTTTGGAAACCTGGAGTCTGTTATGAGCAGGTATTTGTTTACCTGTGTGTATCTGTGTGCAGATACACCAGATTTGCACAAAAAAGCAGTAAAAAAAAAAAAAAGTGTGAGAGGGGGTCTGTCTGTCCAAGTCAGGTCAGGATTTGGATCCCTTGCATGAAAGGCTACCACTTGCTTTCTTCCTGCTTTCCACCTCATCTATCTGCAAGGGCAATTTTTATTTTTAATAGAGCTGTTTCGTGCAAGAGCAGTTCTGCACAAAAAGCAGGCTGCGTCCTTTCCTGTGGGCTGATAGAAACAAAGTGGAAGTGGAAGGCTGGCAAATGATAACACCCAGAGAAACCTCAGCACATGTGTAAACAAACAGGCAAACAGTGCACCTCAGAGCACCCATGCTCAAGTAACATGCGATATTATATGGGACTTGATTGTCCTCAAAAGTAGCATGCAGGTAGACCCCCAATCATGAGCAGAAATCCATCTGTTGAACACCCCAAACACTTGGGTACAGTATACCAAAGAGAATTATCCATTCTTTCCGAACCATTTATCTATTCTTTTATTTTTATTTAATTTTTAAATCACATTTATATCTCACCTTTCCTCCAAAGAGCATAAAGTTGTGTACGTGATCCTTCTCCTCCCTATCAAATCCTCACAATAACCCTGTGAGGTAGGTTAGGCTGAGAGACTGTGGTTGTCCCAAGGTAACCCAGTGAGCTTTATGACTGAGTGGGGGTTTGATTCCTGGTTTCATAGGTCCTAGTCCAACACTCTAACCACTACACCACTGTCTTGTCCATTGCAAAATCCTGTCCATCATTCCAGTCCATCATTCCAGATATAGCTCGGGTCAATTTATCCACACAAAAGCTTTTGCATGCAGGAGCCAAGTTTTACTTGTTGGGTTGAACATGAACTGATTTTCCCTCTGTCAGTAAATAAGTTGTGTAAAAAGGTACACAGCTTCTCAGTTTGTAGTCCTAGAGCTCCAAGGTCTTCCTGTCACAACCTAAACAACTTCCTTGCAAGGAAACAGAATGTATTGGCTCAGCCAGAGATGAGGGGAATAACTGTAAGGAGAATGCTTAGCTTCATTTAGGCTCCTCCAGTGATACAGACATTATCCTGAGGAAACCAGTCTCCCACTAAGGGCCCCTCAGGACGGGGAGAAGCATTGTCCTCCCTATAGAAGAATATTCAGACAGGATGTGTCAGTCTTCATACTGACATTTACTGTATCCACACCAGCTGGATTAACTTGGCTTGGACATGTTGCTGGAACATATGTCTGAACTGTGAGCTCTTTGCAATGTGGCACTCCATAAAACCTGATATACTGTGCCATGTCCTGAAATTCCTTTGCACAAACATCACTGGGCTTCAGGAACATGCATGTCTCCTTAAAATGTCTCTGCTAATGCTGCTTTTCTAATGCGAACCATAGCCAGCGAAAGATGGTGGTTCTTCATTAAGGAATAGCTGGGAAAACATAGAGGCCATGCATCAAAATTACATTATTGGCATTGAGGGCTTTTGACTTTTAACTTCAGGGAAGGCCCATGTGGTGGTTATGGGCCACCCACCTGCCACTGGGGTCACTGCATCTCACCTGGATGGTGATGGGATGGCAGCAAGGTTGGGGTTGGGCAGGTGCAGTGGTATGGTCAATCTAGCACTTCCACTGGTGCCCCCCACCCCACCCAGCCTACATTGCCCTCCACCAACCAGTAAACAGAAGTGATTCCAATATCAGGGGAGCAGCTCTGTCTCACCTTAAAAGCCACTTCCATTTGTCTCTTTCTCCAAAGTATTTCTACGAAAAGCTCCAGTTTTTCGGTTTTGATACATGGTATGCATGATACATGGTAGATAACAATACAGAATTCAGTAGTGAGTGATGATCAAGTCATTTTGTAAAAATAGTGAAATTTTGTTCCAAAGGTTAGTCTTTATTTGAGTTTCAAAAGCAATTTTCATTGTAACATTGTAAACAGAACGTATTTAATTGTGCATTACTGTGATTTTTATTCTCTGATTAGTATTATGTCGGCTTAAAAGAAAACAAATCGTTCTTTTCCTTAGCCCTTTTTTCCCTGAAGATACATTTAGACAATCACCATTCACTTCCAACTCAAAAGATCTCCTGTCTAATGAGACTGCTGTTCATGGAAGGACAACAGTACCAGGTATGGGACATTATGTTTTTAGTAACAGTAAAGTTCAGATATTGTGATTGAAAAGTCCTAGTTGTGTTCAGATACATCAAGTGGAAGCATCACAAATCCTGAAACAAAATATATCAGAAGTCATTGGCTTTGAAAATATAAGACACCAGCCATAGGCCTTGAAAATATAATTGGCTAAATAAAATGTATTTAACTTAGCATGAATTGATGCTAATTAGAATTAACTGGGGTTGGATTCTTCAGCTAGAAAAAAACCATTAATTATTATTTCCAAGAATTGAAGAACATTGCAGGGCACATTGACGTAGGTTGACATCCAATGGTGACTGCATGCAAGCTGAAGAGATTTCCACTCATGCAACGCTGGATTTCACCCATAGTCTTTTATGGTCAGCAAGTCACAAAGCCTAGAAAACGACTATGAAAAGGGATGTTGATTAGAGATTCCTCACCACATAGAGTTCTGGAAACATTTACTTTATCCCAGACTCATTGGGTTGCTTTTCTACCTACACAAATTCAGCTGCAGTTTTGTCATGATAGAATAAATATTGCTTGCTACTATGACAAGTGAACTTTTAGGTATTTGGTCACTCTGGGGCTGTTGGGGCTTAGGCAGAGGGGAGTGAAGGAGAGGTTAGCATATATAATTGCCCTTACGATTGTACCAGAAACACAAGACCATGTACAAAACATTATGTATTTTCAGCTTTTCAATTGAAGTTCTGCCTCATCCCAACAAAATCTCAAAATATTTCCATAGTGGCTAACAAACTGAAAGGAACTGGAACTGGACTTTCTGCTTTTAATTTTCTGTCTGTATAAATAAGCACTTTGATATTTCTGTCAACCTGTACATTTTAAATCATTTCATCCCTTTAGAAACCCTCTCAAAAGGGCTTGGCTACTGAAATATTTATTTTATTTATTTCATTGTTGCATACCAGCCAGCTCTTTCTAACTTTTAAGGAGGCAGGATGTGACCGCCATCTGTAATTTACCTCGCAAGAAAAGAGCATTGGCTGCCTGCCAGGATATCTTAATGTTGCTGTAACCTGACATTAACTGCAGCTGAAAATGTGGTAGGGCAAATTCCAGACTCCTGTGTATGTCCAAAAATCTTGCATGGAATCCAGAGAAGAAACTCTGCTTCTTTGGAAGAGGACACACATGCAGCCGGTGGTTTTCTTGCTGTTTTTGACAAAAGGCATACATACAACGAAATACTGACTTCAGCATGCTCTGAGCTGGTGGGGGAGTGGGGCAGGGAGCGAAAGCAAAACTCTGGCAGAGAGCACAGTTATTTTCTGCCTGCTAATACAAATAAATAAAGGGGTGGTGGCATCAGCTGCAGTGGATACTCTGGACATTCAGTGTTTGCCCAGCTCTGCCACGGGCTGATGTAAGGCCTTGGCATACATGCAAAACTTGAGTTTCTGTCCCCTCTCTTCCGCTTTCCATGTGCATAAGTGGTATTATTAGCCAGCGGGTTAAATCCATGTTCGCTGCAAATGTGGAAGGTTAATATATGATATGTGAGCCCGTCAAAATGCATTAACAAAGTGTTACAGTATTACCAAAGGAAGATCAAATTAAACTCACCGGGTGAGGTCATAGCTTGATATCAACCGAACTGCAAGAGCTCAAGCTTTTGTCTGGTTGTCAAATGTGTTTTTTGTTTTTTCCGGATGCTATAGACATGAAAACTTTCACTATCTTTATTTGTAAAATTAGGAAAGAATCATTTGCATTGGGTAAAATAAATCCTATCACAGTTCCATAAATTTGCTGCAAGGATACTAAAGCAGTTTTCATTAGGGCTGCTTGGTGTACTTGGCATACACCACACATGTTTCGTTATGTCTCAGGGGTTCTCAGAGAACAAGCTAGTAAATTCCTATGCGCTCAAAAAGGCTGCCATAAAGAGACATCACTTGGTGGTGACGGGACCAGGAAAGGGAGACTGAGATACCTTTATTCTGTCTTCTCTCCCTGCCTTCCCTCAGGTGTATTCATTATGTATAAGGGCGGGGGGTGTAGCTCAGTGCTACAGCATATTCTTTGCATGCCAAAAGGTTCTAGGTTCAATCCTAAGCATCTCCAAGCGAGGCTGGAAAAGACTTCTGTCCTGTCTGAAATCCTGGAGAGCCACTGCTAGTCGCCATTGACATCTACAGAGGTAGTTAGGTCTGATTTGGAATAAGACAGCTTCTTGATTCTATGAGTTTTCCTTGAATGAGAAGCACCAAAGGACCTACAAGGGCTTAGCAGAAAGGAGGGAAGAAGATTCCAAAGGGAAGAGGACCCTTAGGAGAAGAATCTGTTCCTGGAATAAGTCTCGCAGGGGCAGCATCCCAGATCATTAACACTCCCAACAGTAGCCAACTAGACACTGTAGCCAAGTTCACAGGAAGGGCATGATACACAATCTGCATCATCTAGGAAACTTTGCTTATGAAAAATGTAGTTAGTAGCCATTGCTAGTGTTATGGTCTATATACTACCCCAGTCCTGTGACAATGAGTTTCATAGGTTGGTTATATGTTGGAATAAGAAATACTTCCTTTCATTTGTCCTAAAGCTGCTCCTTATCAACATTTATTATGTTCTTAGACCACTTTTCAGACAAATATTGTCTCCCAAAGTGGCTCACATCAGTTTAATAAAAAAACCCCTGAGGCTTCTGCTATCAGGCTTACAAACGAAAAGTCAGGACACACGAACTGAGGGAAAAGGTAGAAGAAGTATGTCAGTTTGACAATGCCAGAACAAGGTGTTGAGTCGTAACCAGGCATTTATATCCACTTAGAGTCAGGCGGATCTTCCTGTGTGGGTGGCCTTGCCTGGATTAAGGTGCTGCGACTGGCCCAGCAGCTCTTGCTCCTCTGACTGATGGCAAAGGCCAGAGTGTTCTTCCCTACACATCTGCAGGGCAACTGGCAGTTAGAGATTTCTTTCTGTCTGGAAACTCCCTGTAGCAGTGATAGATGAAACTGGTCTGGTCTTTCCCTTGCTATGATGTTCTTCCTAGGAGACAGAAGGTGGAACAAACACCCCATTGGATGGCAGAGACCAAAGTAAACTTCCCTTTGGCTCTCTGGCCCAAGGGTGACTGACAGTTGGAGTCAAGTGCTATTTCAGACAGAGGGGAGAAGCAAGCTCCCTTCAGCTCCTCCTCCTTTAGCTAATAAATGGGGCCAGACTTGCCTTGTCTTATTCTTTCTGGGAGACATAGGGTGTAGCCTTCCAGGGGCCTGTGTTGCCCGGCAGACGACAGAGGCTAGAGTGTGCATCTCTTCTCCTCTGTGGACCCTCAGCATGGGATACAGAATATATTCTTGATTTTGAGACTGCCTGGGGGTGCTGGGATCTCGTGTGGCTACCCCATGTGGTAAATAAGTGAATCGTAGGAGGCAGTCTTCTTGGTGAAGAAGCTTCTGGATTGACTGCACCTACTCAGGTTGGATCCTGCTGTGCAGGAAGAAGTTTAAAGAGATTCCTTTTCTAGCGGAGCCTCATTTTAGCAGCAAGGGGTTCTCAAGCTCTCATGTATGTTAGGTCTCTGGTCATGCATTGTGGTTTGACCTCTATTCCTGATTTCACAGCTCCTTTTCCCCGGCTCCTGGGTCACCTCATAATACTTCCCACAGTTCAGTTCCCAATGAATAATTCTTTTCCAATTCCCTCTTTCTAGCCTTTCGCGATTTTTACAAACTCCTATTTTGTTGCTCACTCGGTGATCTTTTTTATTTGCTGAAAAGCATCTCTGTCTTTTAAACTCTGCCTCAGAAGTTATTTATTAATTTATATCCAGCCTTACACTCAGAAAGAAAAATCACACATCACCTTGATTGTTTTGTCCCTTTCCAGCTTTCCTATCACTTTTTTTGAGTTGAGGCAATAAGAATTTCACACAGTATTCTCTGTGTGGATATTCTGTAGGCCTTTTTTGGAAACATCATAACTTGCCGTTTAATCGTTTTAATTCCTAACAGTGAGGGCATTTTTTACTGCCACAGTACACAGAGTTGACATTTTCAGTGAGCCATTTAGAAGAACTACCCTTTTAAAATAAAGTAAATTCATAGTAGAAACTGAGACTAGTATCAAAAGTCCCAAGCATCTCAGGAGCCTTCCACACGTGTGTGTATAGAGCATGTCTAGAAAACGTCTCTAGCAGTCAATGTGAAATATAGCTGATCTCATTCCAGTAATAGATCTACTACTGACAGCACCACAACAGCTGAGAAGAAGAGCAAGTAACTGCATGCAAACAGAGACTGAAGTACCCTTTCACTCTATGAGACATCATCTTGAGGACAGCACTGAGGAAGCTGTCAGTGCCAATAGACATATAATGCCTAACATCCTGTGAGTGATAGCATACGTGCTTCTTTACTTTTAAAGACAGCTGCTGATCTGTGTAGCTGAGAGTCCTGCAAGCATTTCCTGCTTGGTTAGCTGGATGTGTGGATTGGCTAGAGTTCTCCAGCAGAACTAAGAATAGTAAGATGGGAAGGAGAAAGTTCATCTGAGCTAGGATCTGACCAGTAAAAAATTGGCTAGGGTTGGACATGCTGGAATGCAGTGCTAGTCCAATGATGCGTTGCAAATTCCAGAAATATTGATGGAGGGATCGCCTATGCTAGGAAATGTTATATTTCCAGCTTTTGTTTGAGAATCTTTCTAGTTTTCACTGTGGCAGAGAAAATCTTTCAATATCACTACATTGTTTGCCTCTGCCTCTCTCCATTACCTGTCTCTGAAGATTAGTACACCTGCTATATCCCTACTCCTCTGTGTTATTTTGTTGCTCTCCCTCCTCTCTCTGGCTTCTCAGACATTTACCTGTTTCCCCTGCATACGTATCTGCCTCATGTGCTTCTAAATTCTCTACTAATAGTATCTCTGTTATTGAGCATCTCTTTCTCAGGCTCCGGGAAGGTCTTATTTGTCATTCACAAAATAAAGAAGTCCAACATCTGGGGTGCAGGAAAAAT